TACATAATAGAAGTGACTTTGTTCTAGCTCAAGAATGCCAAACTGGAGGAAGCCACAGCTAAGAAAAACCTCTTTAAAATACTGCAGACCTAGCGGGAGGAGGCGACTAGTACAACTGCATTAAAAAAAAAATGCCGAAGGTCTAGATAGTGTGGGAATATAGTATTGAGTTCTTTATAAGATGGATCCTTTCTTTCCTTTCTTTTCCTTTCTGTTTATTCTTTCCTTTCTCCTTTCCTTTCCATTTTTCTTTTCTTTTTTTTATTTTACTTTCCATAAGAAATGTCTTAAGTGATAGTGACTCCAAGAAAAATCGTGTATATGATGTGAAAATTGCTCCCCACCTTACTGATCCTTCACCTCAGACCACATCAGTGCTTCTCGATATAATCCGCAATAGCTACTTTATTAATTATTAGATTTTCCAAATGCATTAGCCACTGGATTTTTCTCTTATTTAGTTATTTGCCATTTTTACCACAACAATCTTATCCCAAAATGTCTCTAAGCCATCATCTCACTAGGAAATATGCTTTCTTTAAGCATGCATTAGTTTTACGGATGAAGCAGTGAGATATGAAGAAAAGAGCATGTGTTTCATAGTCGTAAGGCGTGGTTATGCATTACACTTCTTTCACTTTTTGGTTTCTGATCTGTCAAGAGGCAATAACTACCTATTTCATTAGGATTTTTTGTGAAAATGAAATCAAATGCTTTATGCAGAAGTGCCTTACAAACTATTCATAAATGTTAGTTATTTCCATTTTTGTTATTATTGGCTGATTTGAGAGAATAGCATATATATCCTTTTCAACGTATGAGTTTCTGATTTTTGTTGACTATTTGCAGTTATCGTTTTTCTAATTTTAAGCTAATATGTTAACTACCTCTGTACAGAATATATTATCACTCAGATTTGCAAGTAAAAAGTAATGCAAATATTGGACATTATTTCCCTCACTTTTTCCATGTGGTTGAATTATCTTTAATTTAAACTTCGGATAATGCATATCAACTTGTGATCCACACCTTTTATACCAAAGAGCTTTTATTTTTATTTCTTTTACAGTGGCTATGGCATAGCTAATGTAAGAGACTTGTAAGACACTAACCTCACTCCCAAAAAAGAATTGGTACTAATGTTTATTTCCTTCTCTGCATTTTAAAACATCTATGTTGTTCTTTAAACACTGTTTTCCCAACAAGCCTCCTCCTCAGCTGAACAAAAGGCATACAGTTTTAATATTCCTATTGCTGTACATATTCATGGCTTTACTAGTAGTGATTAATGAATAAGTAATTCGAAACTTGCAATTTAAAGTTGGTATGGAACTTATACACAACAGTCAACGGTTTGTTATGATGTTCTTTCTTTGTATTATAAAAAAAGAATAACACTATTCTCTGTAATGTTATTTTGCTTCCTTTTCAAAAGATTTAGGCTTAAACAAAGTCAGGTGGACTAAACAAGTCTTCCCGGTTAAACTGTTCTTTCAGGTTTTCTGAAACAAGTGGAAAATCCAGTCACGAACACCTGATGTTCATGTCATCTGTACTTGAACCCATGTTTCTGGTCAACTAAAATTCATGTGACATTTGGTGGTTTTTATCTTGAAAGGAATTTCTGCTTCAGATAGAGAAGATTCATAACCCAAATTTCTTCTGTTCTAATCTGTTGTAAGGAAATAAATTGAGGACACACACACACTTTACAACTAAATCAAAGCTCTGATCTATGTTTACAGAATTTCAATAAAATTATTTCTTATTTTCTATAGAATTTTGATTGATTAAAGTCATTCTACCCTTAATTTAAGAGGAATGATAAGAACTTTGAAAGGTCACATTTAAAAGGTTATGAAATTTAAGGGTGACCACTTGATATTTGCTAGTGTTGAAATACAAGTTTATTAGCTTCTGCGGGTAGAAGCTGAAAGATGTCGCCTCTTTTATATTGATTAGCTGTTATAAATAAAATGCAGGGGAAAATCTCACTAATTCAGACAAATGAAAAAAGGGTTTTCTGAATGAGTTAAAAATTCAGCATTGTAGAATTTTTAAAAATAAGATTTTACTACTTTTGATAAAATAGTGAAAGTTAGCTAAGAGAAATCCTTAAAAAACTTAATGAAGAGGCAGGAATCATTTGCAATTGTAATATTGATTGTTTACAATTAGGAAACTTCTAAAATTCTTAGAATGTCTAAAAACAGCTTGTTTAAAAAAACTATACTTCATCTGTCTTAATTCACTTTTAATTCACTGGGCAAGTACTTGATTAATAGTGAAAAGACAAGTTTCACATGAGCTTCAGTCCTGAAATCTATCATATTTTTTGGCAATCGTTGAAAAATAAACAAAATTTTCCTTTTGTATTGCTATACATTTCTGTCATTTGAATTGTTTCACTATAAGAGGAAATAAAAATACAAAACATCATAATAACAACTATGGCTGTATAGGGAGAGGACGTTGAAAGTGAGTCTGGTAGCCTCACTGCGATTTTAGTACAATTCTGTCAAAACTCACTTCTTTACTTTCACCTTGTAGAATCCTTACAGATGTGTCAAAAGTATTCATCAGAGTTTAAAACCTTTAGGTAAGATTCCCTAAGAAAGAAATCCTATATCTACCCTTAGTTAAATTTCCCTTACCTTTAATTTAAGAAAACTTCTGGCCTTGTATGAGATTAAAATGAAATATGGGAATGACGAAATGAGATAATGTATATGAATATACTTTAGAAACTATAACGCTATTAGAGATTTATGTATTATGAACTAAGCATCATTATTCTTTCATGGAAGTGTTCATTTCTTGTAACACTATTTCCTATTTTTTCCCCCATCTTAGAGATGTCAAATAAATGTGATTAAAATTTACCAAATACCTAATTGTGCCAATGTCTATTTAAATGTCACTTTGTTACCTTCTCTCCTTTTAAAACTGTATAAGTCCTACATAAATATATTGTCTTTAGAAGACTCAAGGACGCCAGAGTATATAAGGAAAAGTGAGACAGGCCATCTCGACATCTCGACATCCATTCTCTTTCACTCTCCAGGGGTAGCCAACATTTGGGATATACCTCTGTGGTTGGTTTTCTTTAGATTTACGTTTATATACATATGTGCTTTAAAATAAAGCTTTAATCGAATTGCAGTTTATATTTTTTACTTGGCAATATGTCTTGGATAACTTTCCATCTAGTATAGGTGAGTATTATTTTGGACAAATGCGCAGTATTCTAGACTATTATAACACAATTTAAAATGTAAGATCCATGAGGACAGGAACTTTGTCTCTTACTGCTGTGTCTCTAGGGCCTAGAACAGCGCATAATACTGTTAAGAAGATGCTTGCCTGCACCTCCCTATGTACATATGTGGAAATCATTTTTTAGGGTAGATAGCCAGACATATTTTGAAAATATGGTTATATTGTCTCCTAGTTTCTAGTGTTGCCGGTGAAAGGTATTAGGCCAGTTTTATTCTGGTTTCTTTGCAGGTAACCTGTTTTTGTCTCTCAAAAAAGTTCTGGAACTTTCTCTTCATCTTTGGTGTGCTGATACTTTACAGCAGTGTGTCCAAGGCAGATATGTGTTTCTTTTCATTTATCCTGATCAGCACTCATTGAACCCTTTAAACTACAAAGACACATCTTTCTTTAGCTGTGGAAAATGTGTTTTCTTCTGTCTTTTATTGTTTGTTTCTCCATCATTCTTTCTCTTCTCTCCTCAGACTCCTCTTAGATCAGTGTTAAAACCTCGATATATCTTCCATGCTGTTTAACCTTTCTCATTTTCTTCATTTCATGGGTTTGGGGGCAAGAAGGGAGGTAAATAAACGTGTTCTGTTTGCCATCTTGTTCCAGTTTCCTGACATAGCTCTTTTTATCCGATAAAGCTGACTTTTAAAAAAAAGTCTGTCGTTTTATTTGTCTCAGCAGTCTGTTCTTAAAGGAACATGACTCATGTTTTATAATAATCGATAGAAGGTTGATATTGCTTAACATACTTTTGTTTTATAATCAGATTTTTTTGAAGATAACTTTTTAAAAAACCATAGTACCATTTTAAAACTTAGACTCACTTGCCTCGTGCTATTGGGAGTGAGCCCAGTCGCATTAAAAAATGTGTTGGTATCTCAATCACTCATCAGGTCCTGGCAGCTCCGGGTGCTGATAAAGGCCTTGATGCTTCTCCAGATGTCTGTTCTAAGTGTCAGCTCCAGGTGCAGTAAGCAGGATATTTGGAGCTGGCACATAGATTCTCAAGCACAAAATATGAGTACAGATGAAAGTTGTAGGTCCTTGGTCTCCTAGAATAATGGTTACAACCCTGGTTGAACATCAGAGTCACCTGTGGCACTTTATAGAAACAAATGCCTGGACCCTATACTAGACGTGTTAAATCAAAATCCTAAAGGGAGTAGGACTGGGCATCTGTGTATTTTTAAAGGCTCTAGAGATTGTTTTGATACGCAGCCAAGGATGAGAGCCACTGTTCTTAGGGACCCTCTATGTGAATTTTCTCTTCCTTGGGCTTCATTTTGAAAGAAATGGCTATCCAGTGTTCTTTGGTACAGATGCGTCATAATTTGTTTAACTGGTACCCACTTGCTTCTAGTTGTCTGCTATTACTAATTACTGTAGTAGATGTTTCGATAATATAACTTTGTATACATTCGTGAGTATGTTTATGGGATAAATTCCTAGAACTGGAATATATTTTGTTTAGGCAAAGGTATACATGTTTGTGAATTTGAGATAGATGTTTTTGTCTGTGAAAACATGTTTTTTAAAATCTTCAGGTGTTACATTCTTAGGCTAAAAATAAACTTAAATCTTGGAAGTCCTTACATTTTGTTTTCATTTCTAACTAGGCCAGTACTAAAGTTGAAGTGGACATGGAGAAAGCAGAGAGCCTGCAGGTGACAAGAGGGGACTTCCTTGCTTCTTTGGAGAATGACATCAAACCAGTGAGTACTAATATTAAGTAATATATAAGCCAAAAATCATAATAATAATTCAGGAGAAAAATAAGTGCCATTTTACCCAGTATCATGGAAGGTTATATCTTATGTAGTTTTTAAAAATCAGAAAATCTCAGTATTGGAAGTGTCCAATATAAGAAACATCTGTACAGTAACTCTTATGGCTAGGTAATTAACCAATACTCACTGAAATATTTCTCATGATAGGGAGCTCACCATCTTATAAGGCATACGGTCCCATTTTGAGACTTTTTAAATATTAGTTCTTACTTTAATTTGAACTAGAATTAGTTTTATTAATGGCTCTTATACATTCGAAGCTGCCAAAACCAAAACTAATTCATCCACCCTCCATGTTATTTATGATATTTAAAAGTAACTCTCATATCCTCCTCTCTCCCTTTCCCAACCTCCTCCAAGGCCTGCCTTTTTCTTGCTTGACACCTCTAGTTTCTCTAACTACATGGTTTCTGAGGACTCTTAACCATCCTAAGTGCCCTTTTAAAAAAAAAAGGTTTCAATTTTCTTAAAATGCACTCAAAACTCAATAGTCATTGCTGGAGCTTTAGAATACAGTATAAGGTCATTAACCCATTTTCCTATAAAATAACCACTTATGTTTGAGTAACCATTGTTTGTCCTATATTAGTCCTACGTTAATACATTTTGTCCTGTATTAGTACAAAACCAAGTTTAGAAAGGCTTCTTAAAGAGGTGTGTATGTTTGTTTGTTTTTTTCAAATGGACCTCAAGTGCACAGAATTGAATTAATTTTAATCTTCAGTTCATGACACACTGTTGTCATTAATCTACATGGTCTGTAAAATAAAATATGGTGCGTATAATTTTCTGGTACTTGATTTTTTATTACATATTTTGTTTTCAGGGATCATCCATATGATTTCCTGTAGCCATACATCATTCATTTTCATTGCTGAATAACATTCCATTGTATGAGTACCACGATTTATCTGTTTTCCTGTCAATGGGCATTTGGAATGTTACCGGTTTTTGTACTACAAACAAGTACTGCCGTAAAGCATTCTTGAATGAGTTTCTCTTAGATATATATATTTAGAAATAAAATTGCTGGTTTGTTGGCAATATGAACATACAACTTCAAACTGAAGCATTTCAAACTTTTCCCAGTGGTTGAACCAATAAGCACTTCCCCTAATTACTCAGCATCCTCTACCACACTTGGTATTGTCAGACTTAATTTTTGCCATTCAATTGGATGCAAAAGGGGATCTCATTTTGGTCTTGATTTGCATTTCACTGGTTACTTAGGAAGTTATGCATTTCTCCATGTTTGTTGGCCATATGAATGTCTTTTGTGAAATGCTGTTCGTGTCTTTGCCTACTTTTCTGTTGTATTGTTCGTTCTTTATTTTTATTTGATCTGTTTAAGTTTTTCATATATTCTTGGCCATAATTATTCGTTGCAGGTATCTCCCTTAAAGACAAAAATCAATTCATTGTAGCCCTGTTTACTTTTTTATGACTGTTGTGTCTTAAATATAAAATATTACATTTCAGAAGTTACTGAGCAATGGAAATGGTTTATCTTTCATTGTTGTCCTTTGCAATAGTTGCCAAAAATATTAGATCCCAGCCTAATTGATCTACTCAAGATTTTTTTTAATGACAAATAATTTGGCTACGAGAAAGGGGAAACTAAGATAACTAAGTAAAATAAGTAATAACTTAACTTTTCTTTATTCCAAGAGTTTGGGGAATAAAACCAAAAAATGGACATATGACCTTGACATTACATTGGGTTATGTTTTCATACTCATTTTTTTCCCTATTTCCTTTATGAAAATACAATTCAATTAAGTAACTAAGTAATTAAGTAACTAAGTAACTAATCACTAAAGTTATTGACTACTTTTGGCAGCTGGTTTGATGGAAGTTAACAATTTGAGATTAGAGGTTAAAAATGATGTGATTTAAGCTCCAATGTTTAGTAAGCACAATTAAAACAATTAAATGTAATAATTGCTTCTATTTTCTTTTCCAAACCTTCAGTCTTTCTTGATAGCAGCTCATTTCTACTTCGTTTTAAACTTTGTATTTATACACATATACTTACTTTGGTGCCATTTAACATACATACCCTGCCACCAGGCTGCTGTGGACAGGACCCCATTACCATTGTATAGTCTCATTTTAATCCGTGACACCTACAGTCAATGTTAGGATGGTCTCTTTGTCAGCTGAGCCAATGGTTTCTAATTTCTAAGTCCATAATCTTTTTCGCTCTTTGTTCTTCGAAGAGGCCATAACCTACGTACTCCTTACAGAATTAAGCACATTGGAACATACCCTTCCTCAGGGATTATGAGGGCTTAGGCTCTGGTAGAATCTGAGCCTAGAATCTATTGTTTTATTTCATTAAGTCACCCAAAGCATCTTCCTCCACCCAGCCTCCCCAAAATGAGAAATTCTAAAACTCTTTTGTGTTTTTGTGGGGGTTTTTGTTTTCACTTTTCAGGCTTTTTACATTAAAACAGGTTATTGCTCAATGCTTTTAGTATATAGGAATTATTATATAGGAATTATTATATATTTAATATATACTCATCTTTTCTACCTTTAAATATTTTTTATTTTTAATACTAAATGCTCAAAATGCTTGAGACTATATTTTTCCTCCATAGGCATTTGGCACAAACCAAGAGGATTATGCCAGTTACATTATGAATGGTATAATCAAGTGGGGTGATCCTGTTACTCGAGTCCTA